CGGATACATAATATAGCAGTGTGGATACTTTAATTAATAACGGGCGGATACTTAAATTATTAAGTTGTTAATAGCACAGATACTTAATTAACAGGCGGATGCATAATATAGTAGCGCATATATTTTAATTAATAATGGGCGGATACTTAAATTATTAAGTTGTTAGCAGCACGGATACTTAATTAACGGCAGATGCATAATATAGTAGCGTGGATACTTTAATTAATAACGAGCGGATACTTAAACTAATAAAGTATCCGGTTAAGTTGAATTGGGGGAAAATAAGGAATTTTTGTATTTTAGTAAAAGAGTAGGGAAATATTGAGAATAGGTAAAGAAGTGTTGTGTATTTAAGTAATTTTTCCTTAATTAAATTCTCATGGATAGCCATTTCATTTTTTTTTATCATATTCAAATCAAAGATTTATATTTCATACCTAGCTCTATTTCTATTAGTCTTGTCACTTAAACTATTCCCTTTTAAAAAATTCCCCTTTAGTTCAATCCCCCTTAAGATAAATAAAATGATAAAAATAATAATAGTAATAAAAAATAAGTTAAAATTAATGAGCTCTTTTTACTTAATTTAAGTTTTAAAAAATAAAATAAAAGATAATTAGTTAAAATAAATGAGTTCTTTTACTTTGTTAAACTTTCAAAATTAGTCAAAGTCGTGAGTTCTTTACTTGGTTAAATTCTAAAAATAATTAGTTAAAATAAAATGAATTCTTTTACTTAAGTTAAAATTTCAAAATTAGTCAAAATCATTTTGGTCAAATCGCCAGTCAACTGCGAGTTAGCAGGCATTCCGAGGGCCTAACACCTTCTCGGAATGTACATTGAACTTTGAACCCTTTTATTTTCAATGGATTTTATCTGTTTAAATCTTTTGAAAACCCTTTAATTTTTTCTTGATTTTCATTAAAAATTAAGTGGCGGCTCTGTTCTTTTGGAAATTCGATTTCTCTTAAACCATAAGTTTAATAGATTTTTTCAAAAACTTAGTCAGTTTTCTTTTATCTATATTTTCCTAATAAAACAACATTAAAATATTTAAAATTAAATTTTGTGGTGCTGCCATGTGACACTTTTTCTTCTCCTATTATATATAGATAGATTTGACATGTGCAAGAAGCGTTGACCTCATGCATGAGTTTTTATTCCCTTTGTTTTTTTTAGTTGTCCAATTTTGACCTTTTTATTTGTCAGTTTTGACAAAACAAGAAAAGACAATATTTTTATCTGTTATATTCTCAATTTATTTTGAAAGTTAATGTTTTTGAAAGAGGTAGAACCTCTTTAATGAGTAAATTTATTTTGAAATTCTATCTATTAATATGGGTAAAATGATAAACTCACTATATCAATTTCTACCTTTGTCCAATTTTAATTGTTATAGTTTCCCTTTTTGGAGTCAAACGATAATAATTTTGACTAACATTTTATGATGTATTTTTTCATTATATTGATATGCCAAAAAATTGGAATTTATAGTACTTTTATATAGTTTTTGAATATCTGTTTTTTTTTTGTTTAAAATATCTAATTAATGTATTCTAATTTAACTTTGAAAATTAGTCAAATCGATTTTCGAAAAACGAAACATAACAATTAAAAGTGGATAAAGGAAATATTATTTTCTTAATAAATGTGCCAAGTTATAAATGGATAAATAAATAGAACCGGAAAGAGTATTAATTAATGAAAGATCACGCTTTCACACGTTATGTCATTGACATAATTTTGATACAATTAAAATGTACATGTTTAGAATTTTCATAAAGATTCTATAGATTATAATAGTTAACAATTAAATATAGTTTTAAAAATTGATCTAAAAAAATTGTTTTTGAATTCTCAAATAATAACCAGGACATATAAATCAAATCATATCCACATCAATGATGCAAATTTTAATAAAGTATTTACATGTAATGCTGTTAATTATTTAATTATATGATCCATGTGCAAGAAGAGTTGACTTCACGTACAAGATGTTCTCCTACTGAAAAGAATATCGTTGGTACATGTGGATAATTGTTACGATCTAAACGATTGAGTCGTGTGGACACCTACTTTATTTTTTAAATAGGAGAATTTTTACTATTTACGAACTTAAAATTAAACTCAAATCATCACTTATTTAATTAAGAATAAAGCTATAATTTATCAACTTAGTAAATTACATGGTCTTTGAAAAACATTCGAATTTCTGTTTAGGAACTAGTCTAAACAGGTAAAAAAATTTTAAGAGAGTATAACATTTTTTTTTTATAATTATGTATTCGATATTTATATTGTAATTTGATGAAATTTGAATCCACATATTGCTGAAAACACTTTTTTTGGGTAGAGCTCTAATAGGAATTTTTTTTAATTCCTAGAAGTAAAAATATGATATACCTGATTAAAAGTGTAAAAATCTAAATCATTCCATCACAATTTATACTAATTCTCGATATAATTAATTATTTTCCAAATATTAGATTACTTATTGATAACCGTTTTTTAAAAAAAATAATTTAAGCCATTACCAAAGTTGTGAATCCTTAATGTGAGGGGTTAGGCTTGACTCTGACTATGTTATTCATTAAAAAAAAAAAGAGGCGTTGGTTACTAGTTATAATCAATTTCAATAATATCTTCTATTACTAAATTGGGAGTCCATATAGATTTCCTTTTTCTGTTGTAAATGAAAAATAATAATTCAAAAATTGGGATAAAATGAAATTATTAAATAATTTCTATCTTCCTCCACGTTGCTGAATCTTTAATTGAACACTATAATTAAATCCTAATTAATAGGATCCTAAGATCTCGTTTCATATCCTTGACGACATAATTTAAGTTTTAAATATATTGAAAAGAAATTATGGACCAACGACCCCTATCCTTGTAAAACCTCGGAACCTAGTAGTCTAAGCAAGGGACAAAGTAAGAGGTCACAAGCTAAGATGTGAGTCTGGGAACCCTTCACAAAGGCGTAGACAAACCGTGAAGGGCACCACGAGACGTGGTGTTGCCGTGGTGGCTCACAGAACCCAGCAAAGAAATGCTTCCCTCCCACGAGCACCCAAACGGCTCATGAAGAGGTCAACGAGCTGTGGTGATGGTCGTGAAGGGGAGGCAGTAGCTAAGCAATAGGAATTATAATCTCAAAAATTGTGTTAACTTTTGCGGTACCTCCACATTTATCCCAACTTTTATGCCTTATTAGGAGGAATTAGTCCATGATAGGTGTGATCATCCAAGTGGGGATCTTGGTGGGTGGGAAGGTGTTCAACCAAAGTTTTTTGGTTAAAATTTACAATGTATATATAAAGTATTTTTTTTATTTTTTATGTAGATATATAGATTTGAATCTCCTAAACACAAGACTACAGGTTGATTAGTGGTTTAGGCAATTGAAATTCACTTTGAGGTTTCAAACTCAAATCTCAAGCACTGCATTTAATTTTTTACACCCTTTCATTACGACCCCAAATTTGAATCGTGACAGTTTTCAATATATTAATTTTGAACATAGAAATAATAGATTCGACTCCTCTCCATTAACTTTTTAGCCCTCTTCAATTATCTATCAGTTTATTTTTATTAGAATTGAATTGGTAATAGTTGACTTGAATATTTTTTCTGTATCGTTAGACACATGATTAATTATTTTTAGTGTACTGTTATCAAATCGAAGATGACATGAAGAGCACTACATGAAATCCCAACCAGTTTTGAATTAAAAAAATTAAGTGAAAATATGATCATGCATGTTGGTGATCTTATTTCAATCATGATTTAAAGTATATATATATATATATATATAGTAACATTGTTGGACATGATAGTGATATGAATGATTTAAACTAAACAATTCCACCACTCAAATTCCATGAGAATAAATAAATCTATATAATTCCAAAGTTGATAGAGAAGTGTAAGTTCTTGATTGTAATAAGAATAAGAGTTTATTTGGTATTACCGCTAAAAATTGCTTACTTTTATAAATACTTTTTAAAAATAGCTTTTCAAAAACGTATTTAAAAAATAATAATTTGTGTTTGATTAATTAATTCGAAAAGTGTTTTTGATACGCCGAATGTGTTTGACTATTTTTTTTTAAAAAAATAAAATAATTTTGAGAATCAAATTACGAAAAAGGACAAGGGTCAATGCACTTTTAATATTAAAATTATTTTAAATATCGATTATAAATTTTTAATTAAATTAAAATGTACATATTCAAATTTTCAATCAATATTATACATAGATGAATAAAAAAATAAATTAAATATTGATATAATATTAACATGATTATTTAAATATAATTAAAAATATCAATCAACATAACTTTAAATATCATTTCACCAATTAAATCACAACATACAAAAAACTCATCACAAAAATAAATAAATATAGGAGATATAATGGTATATATATATTTATATATTGTTGAGATATTTTGATCTTGTAATAAATAATTTTTTACTTCTGCTTTTTTTAAGAAACAAAATTTTTTAACTTTGTTTCAACAATAGAAAAACTGCTTCTACTTTTATCTAAAAAAAGTATCACCGATTAGCCAAACACATAAAAAAAATTTCAAAATAAATGCTTTTAGCCTTGAAACAACAATGCCAAACATGCTCTAAATATAATTCTAAAGTTAAGAAATTTTTTTCTTATATATGTACCAAAATTTGGAGTTGTTTTCCTATCAATTAATTCTTTTAAAAGTTTCTTGAATTCCTCCCTTCACCAAAAAAAGAAAAAAAATGTCACTGAACATGAAATACAAAGAGATAATTTCATCCCTCCCTAGAAGAGAAGTATCTCAAAATTTTAGTTCTTTTGATTACTATCAATACAAAGGCTTTTGGTTCCCTTTAGCCTTTTTAGAATCAATTTTATGTGTGGAAGAAAATTTCAAAGCACAACCTTCTAATATTTTTCTTTGTGGTGCTCTAAAAACAGGCACCACTTGGCTTAAATCTTTGGTCTTTTCTATTATGACAAGACATCATTTTGATGACTCCAAAAATCCTATACTCACAAAACTTCCTCATGATTGTATACCAACTTTAGAAATTGATTGTGACATCAATTTTACTTCTCTTGATGATACTAAGTTCCCATTATTAGGCACACATCTTCCATACACTTGTTTGCCACAATCTATAATAGATTCAAAGTGTAAGATCATTTACATATGTAGAGAACCAAAAGACACATTTGTTTCAACATGGCATTACGTTAAAAAGCTTGAAGAAACCATCTCTCAATTCAAAGATAACCCTATCACACTCGAACAAGAAATTGAGTGGTTTCTTGAAGGGAAATCCGCGTATGGACCTTATTGGGATCACGTGTCTGAATATCGAAAAGCAAGTAAGGATCATCATGGAATGAATGAAATTTTCTTTTTAAAATACGAGGACTTGAGGAATGATACATTGAGTTATGTGAAGAAATTGGCAGAGTTTATGGGGAAACCATTTTCAAAAGAGGAAGAGGATCAATTTGTACCTGAAAAAATAGTGGCAACTTGTGAATTTGGAAATTTGAGCAATTTAGAGGTGAATAAGAGTGGATCGCATAATCCAAAATCTGGGATAAAAGTTAATAATAATGCGTTTTTTCGTAAAGGGGAGATTGGAGATTGGAAAAATCTTTTGAGTGAAGATATGGCAAAATCAATTGACAACATAACTAAGGAAAAATTTCAATCTTTAATTTGGGATTGAATTTTTGAATTTTACAACTTTAATATTACTTTTACTTCATTCAAATTTATCATGTAATTTTTTCTTTATTTTCTTCTTGGGGTTCTATTATGTCATTTCATTGATATGTCTATTTTATTATGGTTTGCAATTAAAATGGTTTTTCTTCACCAATCTCCTAAGTTTGTTTACCAATTTTTCATTGGACATAATTATTCTATGAAATTAATGTTATTATAATAATATACATATTTTTTGTTGCTATACATAAAAGAAATTCGAGAGGAGATTATCTGGTGGAAATCTAATTCTTGCTAATCAGATGAAAGTTATTTTAAAACATTTTTGCCTCATATACAAATACACAAGGAACCTCAGTCTTTGACAACAATCTTAGAATGTTTCTAACCTTAGCTTGAAACAAAATTACAATTCTAAAATTATTTTGAACCTCAACAATGTTTTTAAGAAATCAATTAATTCACATGACTTTGACATTTTTTCCCAAAGACAAAAATATTTATTATAATTCACACCAAAATAATTGCACACACAATATTCCATATCTTTAAAACTTCAAAATTAATTTAACAAGTACATTTTATTTATCATTATTAATTCCTTGTTAACCACCAATTCATTTTCCATCATATTCTGATATCTTTTTAGTTTTTTTATTTGTCATTTTTTTAGAATTATATAAAACTAAAAATACTTAGTATTTAAACAAAAATAAGACTTGTACAATAAGTAATAACTTGATTATGTGTTGTCTCCATTTAATATATGATCTCACTTCTACCTGCTTGATTCCTAGGGTTAGGAAAAAACTTTCCCTATGCAAGGAAATTGAGATTCTCATGACTCTTTTCCTTGTGAGCCTTGTACTGCGTTAAAAATAACTTTTAGCAGCAATAAATATATACATTAACAAAAAGTGTTAAAATCTTTATCTGCATTAGTTAATTGTTATTGGATCAATTATTGCTATAGTCTTTAGAGACATTTACAAAGAGTGCTAATTGCCGTGGAAAATACATATTTAGCGGAAATTAAACTATTACCACTAAAGATAATTTTTATGTGATATTATTAGGACTTTGATTTCTTTTCCTTAATTATTTTGATATATCAACCTCTATCAAAGTGACTAGTACATTTATTTTGTCTCTACAAGGAGGAACATACAATGTTTTAGTGAAAAGACTGCTCAATTACTGCTAGATACCACCATAGTATATAATAGATGTAGAAGCAGTTGTTCAGTGAATAGAACAAAGGAGTAGTCGGGTAAATAGTTTGAGTTCAATCGTGATAAATATTTGAAAAAATGACCTAAATACACATCTTATTTTATTATAATTTCAAAAATTCTTTACCATTTAAAAAAAATCGAAAATTTCCTCTCGGCTACATCACTTGCCTCTCGCTGGTACATCTCTAACTACCTCTCAGATACATTCCTCTCCTCTCTGATACATCCCTTCCCTCACGAATACATCCCTCATCTCTCTGATACATTCCTATCCAATGTATCTGGATGTCCTATCCCCTCACAGATACATCTCTCAGATTCATCTCTCTCCGATGTATTTGGATGACTATTGATGTATCCAAAAGTCCAGTGATGCATTCGAAAGTCCGGTGATGTATCCAGATTCCATAAATTTTAAGGGATTCTTGTAATTTAGAAATAGTAGGGAAATAATGTAATTAACACTTAACACTATGTGATTTATGTAAATTATATTAAATATATTGGGTTGGATCCAATTTGGGTAAATACTTTGCCTAATGGGTCCAATTTGGGTAAAAAATTATGTCATTTGATTGGGGGTACGAGAATCAAACCAACTAATATTCGATATAAAGTTTATATTTATATATTTAAAATAAAATTCACATTATTAAGAAACTATATAAAATTTCTATAAATTATAATAGTTAACAATTCAAAAGATTTAGAAAATATTTGAAAAGATCGTGATCCAAAATTAATTATTTTTACAATCTTCAACTAATAATTAGAACATATAAATTGAAAAATCATTGATATGGATTCCTTTCCTGATTGGATCATATGCGGTTCAATACTAAATTAGTTGAACTTAATATAAATATCAAACGTCGAATAAAAAATAGATGGGTTAAGAAAGTGCGCGCACCTTGTTTTTTTATTTAATGCGGTTAATTTATTACTTAAATATTTGACATGTGCAAGAAGCGTTGACCTCACGTGCAGGAATTTTTATTCCCTTTGTTTTTTTTACTTGTCCAATATTGACCTTTTTATTTGTCAGTTTTGACAAAACAAGAAAAGACAATATTTTTATCTGTTATATTCTCAATTTATTTTGAAAGTTAATGTTTTTGAAAGAGGTAGAATCTCTTTAATGAGAAAATTTATTTTGAAATTCTATCTATTAATATGGGTAAAATGATAAACTCACTATATCAATTTCTACCTTTGTCCAATTTTAATTGTTATAGTTCCCTTTTTGGAGTCAAACGATAATAATTTTGACTAACATTTTATGATGTATTTTTTCATTATATTGATATGCCAAAAATTGGAATTTATAGTACTTTTATATAGTTTTTGAATATCTATTTTTTTTTAAATTTAAAATATCTAATTAATGTAATCTAATTTAACTTTGGAAATTAGTTAAATCGACTTTCGAAAAGCGAAACATAACAATTAAAAGTGGATAAAGAGAATTTTATTTTTTTAACAAATATTTCAAGTTAAAAATGAATAAATAAATAGAAACGAAAAGAGTATTAATTAATGATAGATCACGCTTTCACAGGTTATGTCATAGACATAATTTTGATACAATTAAAATGTACATGTGTAGAATTTTCATAAAGATTCTATAGATTATAATAGTTAACAATTAAATATAGTTAAAAAAATGATGCAAATTTTAATAAAGTATTTACATGTGATGCTGTTCATTAATTAGTTAATTAATTAATTATATGATCGATGTGCAAGAAGAGTTGACTTCATGTACAAGATATTCTCCTACTGAAAAGAATATTGTTGGTACATGTGGATAATTGTTACGATCTAACCGATTGAGTCGTGTGGACATCTACTTTATTTTTTAAATAGGAGAATCTTTATTATTTACCGAATTAAAATAAACTTGAATCATCACTTGTTTAATTAAGAATAAAAGCTATAATTTATCAACTTAGTAAATTACATGGTCATTGAAAAATATTTGAATTCTTGTTTAGGAACTAGTCTAAACATGTATAAAATTTTTTAATAGAGTATAATATTCTTTTTTTTCTTTTTATAATCATGTATTGGATATTTATATTGTAATTGGACGAAATTTGAATCCACACATTGCTGAAAACATTTTTTGGTAGAGCACTAATATGAATTTTTTTTTAATTCCTAGAAGTAAAAATTTGATATCCCTGATTAAAAGTGTAAAAATTCAAATCATTCCACCACAATTCATACTAATTCTCGATATAATTAATTATTTTTCCAAATATTAGATTACTTATTGATAACCGTTTTTTTAAAAAAAAAATTAAGCCATTACCAAAGTTGTGAACCCTTGATGTGAGGGGTTAGGCTTGACTCTTGACTATGTCTATTCATTAAAAGAAAAAAAAGGCGTTGGTTACTAATTATAATCAATTTCAATAATATCTTCTATTAATAAATTGGGAGTCCATATAGATTTCCTTTTTCTCTTGTAAATGAAAAATAATAATTCAAAAATTGGGATAAAATAAAATTATTAAATAATTTCTATCTTCCTCCACGTTGCTGAATCTTTAATTGGACACTATAATTAAGTCCTAATTAATAGGATCCTAAGATCTCGTTTCATATCTTTGACGACATAATTTAAGTTTTAAATATATTGAAAAGAAATTATACAAATTTTGAGTAGTTCTTTTGGCAAAAAATTAATAATATTTCTTGATAATTGATATGGTCCTATGTAGGGCATAAATATTGGAAAATCGAACCAAATTGAACTAATTTGGTTCTTAGATTTTTTGGTTCAGTGCTTGTATTTTTTTATATCAGAAGTTCAGTTCTTGATTTGGTGTAATAGTCTCGAAACTTCGTGCACCAAAGAATCGAATTGACAAATATGATTTTTTAAGCATAATAAGTGTTCCATGATTACATCGATCCACCACTAGTGCTATGTTTATATATAGTGAAAATTAACTTACCTACCAATATGGATTGTGGTGTAGTGGTGAGACTATTTCGCCCTTAACCAGAGGTCTTGAGTTCGAGTCATAGATAAAGAGAAAATCATGTTAGAAGCGCCATCCCAAAATGAACCCAACAGAATGCGATCCAAATTAAGCCGGAGCTCTAATGTGGGCTCCGGACATAGGATAGGAAACAAAAAATTTTTTATCTTAGAGGTTTATTTTTTCATTTTTTATTGGTTTCCCACCTATTCCCTTTTGATATAAAGGCTTTAGCTTAAAGGCTTTTTATTTAAAACTACTAGATTCAAACAAAAATTTGAATCAAGTAGTTTTAAATAAAAAGATTTATCAAATGTATCAAAATGTCCTTTAATCTTATAATCTTAAAGATGACATGTGAAAAGTGGAACTTAAAAAGTTATTAAAAAAATGAAACGTTCTTTTTAAAGTAAATTTTAATTTTTTTTAGGATAAACAAATTAAAACGAATGAAATAATAATTAAGAACCAACAATTGACCAAAAAGGTAATCAAAATTGCTTCATATACAAAGAACTAATCAGAGATTAAAGAAATAATGACTAATAATTTATTTATAAACTAACTTAAAAGAGCAAAAAAATTGAAAACACAAAAAATTAGTAAAATATTCACATGTTTGACCAAGAAACCCATGATAAAAGAAAGACATGTAAAATGGGTAGATTGCAATTACAACAACATAAGTACATTGAATTTTAATGGTAAGAAATCACAATTAGAATTTTCATTTTGTTAGTGAGATTTTGATTTTCGTCCCCTTATAATTCCCCTCG